TGTGTGTGTGTGTGTGTGTGTGTGTGTGTGTGTGCACTACAAGAGGAAGACTGATTCATCGCGGTGAAAAAACGTGCTGCTGCCAAAATCCTCTGCAGCAATTCCTGTTTCCTTTCACCTCAGTGTGGAATCCAGGAAAGAGACAGAGACAAGAGATGTGAGGGAAAGGGGGAGAGAAAAAGGGGGAGACAGACAGTGACACAGACAGAGGCAGTGAGTGTGAGAGATGGCCATGTAAGGTTTCCTGCGCCTCAGCTTGCACCACTCCAGTCCACACAAACAGTGAACCTGAGCTGAACTCTGCAAGGTTTGGTCCCTGCAGAGTTGCTTTTAACTTGAACTTTGGCTTCGTGTGGCTGCGTTAAACAAAGGCAGCCTTCATCATAAGACGCATTAGGGAACTTACTGAAATAATAGTGAGCTCTGGAAGAATGGCTTGCATTCTCAAGTCAAAAACACAATAGCGCTGTAATTTCTTAATGTACTGTGTATGATGAGTTAATTTCCTCAAGGACATGGATATTTCAAAATAAGATTTAAAGTAAGCCCTGTCCTTTAACTGTCACTTATGCAGGCAGCCTTGAAGGTTCTTTTGTAACTTATTTTAGCTGCAGTAATTTTATTAGGAGGGTTGATGCATTTAGAATTGATCAGTAGTGAAATCTATACGGAGTAATCTATATCTTTGTAGCATCTGAGTGAAAATTGAATTATTGCACACAGACGCAAATAACAAAATATTTGTCTCTCATTTAGTTTAATTTAAAGGGTCCATCGTAAATTTACACAAAGCTGTTTAATGTATGATACGCTTTGATAATAATTTAAATTACACGCTGCAGGGTTTTTATCATCTTTGCTCTACACAAACATTTGAAAATCAAATATTGACACTTTTTATTACAAGGGAAATGCTCCAGATGGCATCGTAAACCTCTTAATGTTGGTTCACACAGAATCCAGAAAAATATTCATCTAAATTTTGCTTAACAGTAAAAATCCAAAAACCGTGAATGATCTGATGAATGTCACACAAAGTCCTGCACGATCATAATACACATAACAAACAAGTTTGAATGTGTTGGTTAAATTGGATTAATTTTACAAAATCTGAGTCACGTGAATCTCGACAACTCGGCAACACAAAATATCATTGGGTGAGGGACATCCAGTTTTTATAGAGAGAAACTTGCAGACGTCCACTGTCTGTGTCTTTAATTTCATTCGCCAATGAGATGATGATGAATTTACCAGGAACGATATAGTGACGAGCACGAAGGTGAGAAGAGTGAGGAATGTGCCTCTTCAGTGCATTGGTGGGTTTAAATTTGTAGTGAGCATTACCACTGCAGCTATTCTACACTAATTATGATTCATTTTAATAGACTGATAATACTACGTATTTAATATTTAAGTACAAGAGGAGACAGTGAACATACAGCAGAACGAGACCCAGATATTGTAGACCGAGGTGTTAACTTGCTTCAGAAATATCATAACATGCACTCACACACATTCATGGTGAGGCACAGAAGGAGTGAATGGATTCAGCTTGACAGATATGAGAGGCCCATCTGCTCTATCACTCAACTATGGCTCACGGAGTGTCACCTCTCTGCCTTGTACAGACGCACACACACACACACACACACAGATCTATAAATCAGATCTATAGAATGAATGATTAACAGAATCAAATCATGTTTTTAGAACTTATTAACATGTAACATAAATTTTTTCGCAGTTCATACAAATTGAAGGCTGCTTGTTCATCACAAGATGAAACAGGATGTTTATGAGCTTCGTCTGTCATTGTTTGGTCTCTCCATTCATCTCTTTTATTAATACATCAGGACGAGCAGATGAAGGCCAGTTGGCTTCGCTCTTTGTTAATAAATATGAAACACAATTCCAGCTCTCGTTGTAGGTTTGTATTGTCTATTTGTGGTTGATGCCTTGAAAAAACATAATCCAGCTCAATCCGCCTGTGCAAAATATTGATGGATTGATGGCAGGCAGAAAGGCAAAGCTGAGGATTATAAAAGGTGA